AGGGAAGGTCATTAATAAAGCAGCTGAAGATGGTTGGGCCGAGGACACTACCCCGAGGAACTCCTGCAGAGATGTCTTGGAAATGATTTGATTGACCTCCAACAAGCACATCTTCCTATGTGTCAGGTATGACTCTAACCACCGGCGAGTTTGCCCCTGATAGCCAGTGATTCCAGTTTTGCTAGGTTTCCTTGATGCTGTACTCGGTCGAATGCAGGCTTGATATCAAGGCTTTCACTCTCACTTCACCTCTGGAATTGAGCTCTTTTGTCCATGTTTGAACCAAGGCTGTAATGAGGTGAGGAGCAGAGTGGCCCTGGCGGAACCCAACCTGGGCGTTACTGAGCAGGTTTTTGCTGAGCTGGTGCTGCTTGATAGCACTGTTCATCACATCTTCCATCACTTTACTGATGATTGAGAGTAGGCTGATGGTAATTGGCTGGGTTGGATTTGTCTTGCCTTTTGTGTACAGGACATACTTGGGCAACTTTGCACATTGTTGGGTAGATACCAGTGTTGTAACTGTACTGGAAGTGCTTGGCTAGGGGAGCGGCAAGTTCTGGAGCACAAGTCTTCAGTACTATTGCCGGAATGTTGTCAGGAACCATAGCCTCTGCAGTATACAGTGTTTCCAAACGTTTCTTGATATCACATAGAGTGAATCGAATTGGCTAAAGATGTAGTATCTGTAAGGCTGTGGACCACTGGCGGAGGCTGAGATGGATCATCCACTCGGCACTTCTGACTGAAGATTGCTACGAATGCATCAGCTTTATCTTTTGCACTGATGTGCTGGGCTCTTCCATCATTGAGGATGTGGATATTTGTGGAGCCACCATTGTTTAATTGTCCACCGCCATTCACGATTGGATGTGACAGGCCTGCAGAGCTTCGATCTGAGCCATTGGTTGTGGGATCGCTTAGCTCTGTCTATCACTTGCTGCTTTCGCTGTTTGGCGTGCAAGTAGTCCTGGTTGGTGGCTTCAGTAGGTTGATACCTCATTTTCTGGTATTCCTGGTGCTGCTCCTGGCATGCCCTCCTGCACTCTCCATTGAACCAGGGTTGATCCCCGGGCTTGAGGGTAATGGTTGAGTGGGGGATATGCCGGGCCATGAGGTTACAAATTGTGCTAGAGTACAATTCTGCTGCTGTTGATGGCCCACAGAGCCTCATGGATGCCCAGTCTTGAGTTGCTAGATCTGTGCGAAGTCTGTCTCATTTAGCACGGTGATAGTGCCACACAACATGATGGAAGTTATTCTCAATGTGAAGGCTTCGTTTCCACAAGGACTGTGCGATGGTCACTCTTACCGGTACTGTCATGGACAGACTCATCTGCAGCTGGCAGATTGGTAAGGATGAGGTCAAGTATGTTTTTCCCTCTTGTTGGTTCCCTCATCACCTGCCACAGACCCAGTTTAGCAGCTATGTCCTTTAGGACCCGACTAGCTTGGTCAGTAGTACTGCTACCAAGCCACTCTTGGTAGTGGACATTGAAATTCCCCACCCAGAGTACATTCTGTGCTCTTGCTATCCTCAGTGCTTCCTCCAAGTGTTGTTCAATACGGAGGAATACCGATTCATCAGCTGAGGGTAGAAGATATGTGGTAATCAGCAGGAGGTTTCCTTGTCCATGTTTAACTTGAAGCCATGAAACTTCATTGGGTCCAGAGTCAATGTTGAGGACTCCCAGAGCAACTCTCTCCCGTCTGTATACCACTGTGTTGCCACATCTGCTGGACTGTTCTGCTGATGGGACAGGACATATCCAGGGATGGTGGTGTCTAGGACATTGTCTGTAAGGTACGATTCTATGAGAATGACTTTTCAGCTATTGCTTAACTAGTCTGTGAGACAGCTCTCCCAATTTTGGCACTAGCCCCCAGATATTAGTGAGGACAACTTTGCAGTGTCAACAGGGCTGTTTCCGCCGTTGACTTTTCCAGTGCCTAAGTTGATACCAGGTGATCCGATTTCATTTCTTTGAGATTTTGTACCAATTGGTACACCTGAAAGGCCATCTCAGAGGGCCATTTCAGTTGAGAGTCAACCACATTGCTGTGGATCTGGAGTCACATGTAGGCCAGACCAGGTGAGGATGGCAGATTTTCCTTCCCTGAAGGACATTGAACCAGATGGGTTTTTCCGACAATCGGCAATGATTTCATGGTGATCAGTAGCACGAACAATACGCAAGAAACTCAACTCCAGCCTTTAGACATTAAGACATGGCCACTTGGCTGAAGCACATGCAGTGTGTTTTCTACATAAGCATGTCAGGATCAAAGTATCTCAGAGACGGTGCAGAATATTCTCAAAGGGGAGCAGGACCAGTAGGAGGTCATTGTACACATTGGAATTCACGTCACAGGAAGTGAAAAGGACGAGATTCTGAGGAGATAATATAGAAAGTTAGGCAGAAATTTAAATAGTAAGTCCTCAATGGTAGTAATATCTGCTTTACTCCCAGTGACACTAGCTAGTGAGGGTAGGAATAACAGGATAGAGCAGATGAACGCATAACTGAGGACCTGGTGCAGGGGAGAAGGATTCACATTTTTGGATCATTGGAATGTCTTCTGGGGTAGAATTGACCTGTATAAGGAGGACGAATTGCAGCTGAATTAGGAAGGGACTAATATACTGGTGAGGAGATGTGCTACAGCTGCTCAGGAGAATTTAAACTAGTTGGGGAAATAGTGAGGAAAGTGATCAGTCTGAGACTTGTACAGTTGGGAAAAAGAGTCCGTCAAACAGACAGGGCAGGCAGGAACAAAATAGAGAACGAGATAGGAGTGACAAATTAAACTGCTTTTATTTCAATGCAAGAGGACTGACAGGTAAGGCAGATGAACTCAGGGCATGGTTAGGAACATGGGACTTAGATATCACAGCAATTACAGAAATGTGACTCAGGGATGGACAGGACAGGCAGCTCAATGTTCCAGGGACAGATGCTTTAAGAAGGATCAAAAGAGGGGGCAAGATAGGAGGGGGTACAGCATTTTTGATTAGGGATAACATTACTGCTGTATTCAGGGGAATATTCTTGGGAATATATCCAAGGAAGTTAATTGGGTGGAACTGAGAAATAAGAAAGAGATGATCACCTTATTGGAATTGTACTATAGACTTTCCAATAGTCAGCGGGAAATTGAGAAACGAATTTGCAGGAGATCTCAGGTATCTGTAAGAATAATAGGATAGTTATGGTAGGGGATTTTAACTTTCCAAACATAGACTGGGACTGATATAGTATTAAGGGCTTTGATGTAGAAGACTTTAAGTGTGTACAAGAAAATTTTCTGATTACACATGTGGATGTATCAATGAAAGAAGGTGCAAAACTTGGCCTGCTCTTGGGAAATAAGGCAGCGTAGGTGACTGAGGTGTCAGTGGGGGAGCACTTTGGGCCAGTGACCATAATTCCAAAAGTTCTAAAATAGTGATGGAAAGGGAAAGACTGGATCTAAAAGTTGAAGTTCTAAATTGGAGGAGGGCCAATTTTGACAGCAGGCAAGAACTTTCAAAAGTTGATTGGGGTGGGGTGGGGGTTCGCAGGTAAAGGGACGGCTGGAAAATGGGAAACCTTCAAAAAGGAGATAATGAGAATCCAGAGAGAGTATGTTTCTGTTAGGGTGAAGGGCAAGGCTGGTAGGTGCAGGAAATGCTGGGTGACTAGAGAAAATAACATTTTGGTCACGAATAAGAAGGAAGCCTATGTCAGGTATAGACAGCGGATATTGAGACTGATTCTGTAGAATAGTATAAATGCAGAAGGAGTATACTTAAGAGGGGAATCAGGAGGCCAAAAAGGGGACATAAGACGGCTTTGGCAAATAGTGCAGAGGGCCCCTTAAAGATTGGCAGGCCACTTGTAGAACCGCAGGAGATGGGTGAGATACTAAATCACTACCTTGCATCAATGTTTACTGTGGAGAAGGGTATGGAAGGATATATAAGGATATACAGAACGTGGGGAAATAAATAGGAAATAAATATCTGCATTACAAAGGAGGTGATGGATGTCTTAAAACGCATAAAGGTGGATAAAACCTCAGGACCTGATCAGGTGTTTCCTAGAATTCTGTGCGAAGCAAAGGAAGCGATTGTTGGGCCCCTTGCTGAGATAGTTGTATCATCGATAGCTACAGGTGAGATGCCAAAAGACTGGAGGTTGGCTAACATGGTGCCACTATTTAAGAAAGATGGTAAGGAAAAACCAGGGAACCATAGACCAGTGAGCTTGACATCGGTGGTAGGCAAGTTGTTGGAGGGAATCCTGAGGGATAGGATTTACATGTATTTGGAAAGGCAAAGACTGATTAGAGATAGTCAACATGGCTTTGTGTGTGGGAAATCATGTCTCACTAACTTAATTGAGTTTTTTTGAAGAAGTAACATAGAGGACTGATGAGGGCAGAGCGGTGGACGAGACCTATATGGACTTCAGTAAGGCGTTCGACAAGGTTCCTCATGGTATACTGGCTAGCAAGGTTAAGTCCCATGGAGTAAAGGTGAACTAGCCATTTGGATACCGAACTTGCTCAAAGGTAGATGACAGAGGGTGGTCGTGGAATGTTGCTTTTCAGACTGGAGGCCTGTGACCAGCAGTGTGCCACAAGGATCGGTGATGGGTTGACTGCTTTTCGCAATTTATATAAATGACTTTGATGTGAACATAGGAGGCATGGTTAGTAAGTTTGCATTTACATTTGTACAAATTATATATCAACCATCTAGAAGATCAAGAGCAATTGTCATAGGGAACCCCATCACCTGAAAGTTCACTCCAACTCTCAGCCACCAGATTTCAAACTATATCACTATCATTTCACTCATGCTGAGTCAAAAATCTGAATTATCTCCTTTAGTGTACACTGGGTGAACCAATATCCAGCAAATTGAAGTGTTTCAAGAAAACAGCTCTCTACTACAAACTCTAGGGCCATAAACACAACTTTGCAACCAACTCTTATAACGCATTAATGATAATTACTTGAATTTGCTCTCCTTCCCTGGAAATGACAGCCAACATTCGATCATAATCCTTTGGATGGAAAGCCACTTTATTTACATTATCAAATATTCCTGCTAAATGAGCCTGCATATAGAAAAGAGAAAACAAATGTGCAAATATTGGGTAATTCTGAATCACATTAAGTTCAATCACAACTATGATGCTCTGATTGTATTATTTTTCTTTATTCATTAATGGATGAGGGCATTGCTGATCAGACAGCATTTATTGCCCATCCCTAATTGCCCAGAGGGCAGTTAAGAGTCAACCACATTGCTGTGGGTCTGGAGTCACATGTAGGCCAGACCAGGTAAGGATAGCAGTTTTCTTCCCCAAAGGGCATTAGTGAACCAGATGTGTTTTCTTACCACCTGACAATCAACAATGGATTCATGGTCATCTTTAGATTCTTAATTCCATATTTTTAAATTGAATCTAAATTTCACCATCTGCCTGTGGCAGGATTTGAACACATGTCCCCAGAATGTTATCTAGGTCTCTGGATTAACAGTCCAGCAATAATACCACGAGGCCATCACCTCTCCTTGTTCACCTGATATTCTGTTGACGAGCCCAGCTATAATGAATGATTGAATGTTTACAAAATATCAGTTAACTATATAGACAAAGACATTTATAGGGCAGGAAGGAGACATTAAGTAGGATGGTGATCAATTTTAGTGGAATTTTTGAACATCTTCTCCAATATAAGCAGTTGTAGTCAAGTCTTTTCCTCAAGCAATCACTCCCTATCCCTCGCATCACTGATATTGAATTTAAAGATTTAAACTGAATGGTAAGAACCTGACAGCAAAAAAAAAATGCCGTCTATTTTGTGTCCTACCAAAATGCTATCATGGCTCTCTAGGGTAGTACACTGGAAATCAAGGCCTCTATTCCTGGAGTTGTCAAAAATGTGAAAAATTTGAATCAAACTATCCAAAGTCCCCAATTTTAACCTAACTGACAAATCAAAAATTAAAGAAAACACAAATCAGGTTTCTGTACATAATACCATTGCAGAAAACCATTGCAACAAACTGGCCCTTATTTCAGATAGCTTGGAGTATGAATATGGAAGTCTTGCTGCAACTGGACAAGGTGCTGGTGAGACCACATCTGGAGCATTAAGAGCAGCTTTGGTCCCCTTATTTAAGGAAAGATATAATTTCATTAGAGGCAATTTGGAGGTTCATTAGGATGATCCCTGGTATAGAGGATTGGTCTTACGAGCAAAGGCTAAACAGCTTGGGACTCTATTCATTGGCATTTTGAAAAATGGGAGGGGATTTCATTGAAACAAATGGAACTCTGAAGGGACTTGGCAGGGTAAATGCTGAGGGAATAAAATGAAGAACTGCCAAAACTGGAAATCTGAAATGAAAACAGAAATTGCTGGAGAAATTCAATCAGTTTTGCCAGCGTCTGTGGAAAGAGAAAGAAGACTTAACAGTTTGAGTCCAGTGATCCTTCAGAACTCATGGTGAGAGAATGCTTTCGCCCATGAGACAGTCTAGCATGACTGACATAGTCTCAGAATAAAGGGGTGCCAATTTAAGACTGCAATAAGGGGCAACGTTTTTCTCTCAGAGGCTGGTGAGTCTTTGGAACTCCTTCCCACAGAGAGCTGCAGGGGTCAGAGTCCCTGTGTACATTTAAGGCTGAGATAGATAGATTCCTGATTAGTAGCGGACTCAACGGTTACTGGAAAAGGGCAGGAACGTACATGATCTTATTGAATGGCAGGATAGGCTCAATTGGCTGAGCGGCCTATTACTATTCCTACTTCTTATGGTGTGAAGGTAGAAACACAAATGACTAACTTATAACTCTCTATTGCTTAGAGTCTATCCCTTTAAGAAATTCTGATACAAATACAAACAGACACACAAAGAGGCAAAACAGGGCACAAATATTAGAAAAAGTGTCCATGAAGCATATTTCTTGTTCCAGTCTGGAGAACTTTCCCTAAATTCCCTTCCAATTCCTTTTGACTTTCACAAGTTTGTGGACAAACCAGTTTTCAACCTCTCATTTCCCAATTTAGGATTTACTCTTTCAATGTCTCTGAAGGAGTTTTCCCCTTTCCTTTCAAGAATGGAATTTACAGAGATAAAGTGTAATTAGTTGCTCAGAAGTTTCTTCTGAGAGCGCAATAATTTCTTCTCCATAGACTGGATGTTTCTGCTGTATTGTCCAAACACAAAGCTGTATCCACTTACAAGGAACCAATCAAGAAGAAGTTGCTATTATGCTGAGTACTCCTGACCACAGTCAGTTGGCTATGGTTGGTAAACCAATCAAAAGTCTAGTCACTGGTCAAAGCTGCCCATGGAACTGAAGTGTCTAGAATCTTCTCCCAATGTTTGAGTAAGCCAGCTTTGTAGGTATATTACATAATGTGTTTCAGTAATTCTCTTACGTAAAACTGCAGCATCTTCTTCCATAGTCCCTTGGTTTAAAACAGTATATTTTTTTCCACTGTCAATTTGACAGCCCAAAATATAAAACTGTTCTTTACAATGCACTGCCATAATTGACCCAGGCTCTTTAACACCATCTTTCAAAATTGTGACTGTAGTGATTGTAATGAGGTCAGCCAGGTGGACTTCATAGAATATGAGTTCCCTGATTAGTTTGATCCAATCAGGGAGCTCTGGCTGACAGATAAGAACAGAAGCGTCAGAGATCTTGTTCACTCAGACAGCTGGCTCTGAGGGAGCTGGATCAACATCAAGGACTTGCCACGTATAAATAAAGAGTGACTTGGTGATGGGAGAATGGCCTCTGTGGAGTTATTTCGGTGGCAATGAGAGAGAAGCACCTCCAGGGGATGACGGTTGGTGTAGGAACCATGGGAATGGCCCTGCATGGTTAAGAAACATGATTGATGCGAGGTCAGGTTCAGTGACATTTAAAAGTTCAGTAGATACGATGGTCCTAAATAAGCACATGGACCATATGAAAGCTGCAAATTGATAAATGGTATAGGAGCAAAACATCCCTGGCTCCTCAACAGCCTTTCAGACTGTTCCAGAACCTGTGGATTCTCTCTGTCTGCTAAGTATTGAAGATACCTCGGAATCTGAGATGGATAGTCGATGTCGCTGCCTTGACACCTTTGCCACCTGAAAAAAGAATAAATTCTTTCCAAGATGCTCTGGGCACAAGAAGCGAGCTGCTGTGCTTTGCACGCCATCCAAATCAGAGGCAGAGTTGGAGGAATGGCAGCATGGTGGCTCAGTAGTTAGCACTGCTACCAGGGACCCAGGTTTGACTCCAACCTTGGGTGACTGTCTGTGTGGGGGTTTGCACATTCTTCCTGTGTCTACAATTTCCTCCAGGTGTTCTGCTTTCCTCCCACAGTCCAAAGATGTACAGTTTAGGTGGATTGGCTATGCTAAATTACCCTAGTGTCCAGGGATGTGCAGCCTACTGGATTAGCCATGGGAAATGCAGAGTTATTGGGATGGGGAGGTCTAGGTGGGATGCTTTTCAGATGGGTGATATAGACTCAATGGACCGAATGGCCTTTTACCATACTGTAGGGATTCTATGATTCTATGAACTTGATCCAGAGCTAAAACATGCCAGGAGGAGCTACAAAAAACAATAGAACCAGTCTATGTCCTTGGACTCAAAGGGGAAGGGATGTAATGATTGTAATGACACCAGCCAGCTGGACCATAAAGGAATGAGCTCCCTGACAGGGACTGTTAATCTGGTTCAATCAGGGAACCCTGGTTGACAGATAAGAACAGGATTATTGGATATCCTGTTCACTCTGAGAGCTAGCTCTGAGGAAGCTGGATCAGTGTCAAGGACTCTCCATGTGTAAATGAAAGGTGACATGGTGATGGGATACCAGCCTCTGTGGAATTATTTCAGTGACCTCTATCAAATTGAAGCACAAAGGCACTATGTGCAAGTTTCCCTCCCAGCCATATGGCATCCTGACTTGGGACTATATTACATTTCCTGACTGTGTGGTTTTTATTCATTCATAAGTCATAGGCATCACTGGCCAGGCCAGCATTTATTACACATTCTCAATTGCCCAGAGAGCCATTAAGAGTTGCTCCTCTGATGCTGCTTGGCCTGCTGTGTTCATCCAGCTCTACACCTTGTTATCTCAGATTCTCCAGCATCTGCAGTTCCTACTATCTCTCATTCACATTGCTGTTGGTCTGGAGTCAGATGTACAAGTATGAGGAGAGAATTAGCTAAGGTTAATTGGGTACGTAAGCTAAACGTGAGCAGTAAATAAACAGTGGCAATCTTTTGTTTAATTCAAAATCAACAAAAATGCATTTTATTGAAAAAATACTCAGCAAGAAGGAGAGGTAGGTGAAGTCTTAAACAAATACTTTGTATCGGAATTCACCAAAGAGAAGGAATTGGTGGAGGATGATGTCAGGGAAGGGATGACAGATTTCTAAATCAAGTTGCTATTAAAAAGGAAGAGCTGTTGTTTGTCTTAAAAAGTATTAAGGTAGATAAGTCCCTGGGTCCTGATGGGATCTATCCCAGAATATTGAGGGATGCAAGAGAACAATTTGCTGGAGCTTTGACAGACATCTTTGTGTCTTCTTTGGCCACAGGTGTGGTCCCAGAGGACTGGAGAATAGCTAATGTTGTCCCATTGTTTAGAAAAAGTAACAGAGATAATCCAGGAAATTACAGGCCTGTGAGCCTCACACCAGTGGTAAGGAAATTATTGGAAATGATTCTCAGGGACAAGATCTATAAGCATTTAGAAGCAAATGGACTGATTAGCAATAAACAGCATGGCTTTGTGCACAGGAGGTTGTGCCTCACTAACTTGATCGATTTTTTTCAGGAGGTAACAAAGATGATTGATGAGGTAAAAGCAGTTGATATTGTCTACATGGACAGCAGTAAAGCCTTTGACAAGGTCCTCATGGCAGACTGGTACAGAAGGTGAAGTCACATAGTTATCGGGGTGAGATGGCAGTATGGATTCAGAACTTGCTTAGTCATAGGAGACAGAGCATAGCAGTGGAAGGTTGCTTTTCGGACTGGTGGGCTGTTACTAGTAGTGTTCCACAGGGATCAGTGCTGGGACCGCTGTTGTTCGTGATCTACATAAATGATTTGGAATAAAATGTAGCTGGTCTAATTAATAAGTTTGCAGATGATACAAAGGTTGGTGGAGTTGTGGATAGTGAGGAGGATTGTCAGAGGATATAGCAGGATATAGATCAGTTGGAGGCATGGGCAGAAAAATGAAAGGTGGAATTTAATCTGGACAAATGTGAGGTGATGCATTTTGCAGGACGTTGACAGGCGACCTGATAGAAGTTTATAAGATTGTGAATGGCTTGGATAGAGTGGAAAGTATCAGGCTTTTTCCCAGGGTGGAAGGGTCAATAACAAGGGGCCACAGGTCCAAGTGTGAGGGGGGATGTTTTAAAGATGTACGAGGCAAGTTTTTCACACAAACCGTGATGAGTGCCTGGAACACGTTGCAAAAGAAGGTGGTGGAAGCAGACACAATAGCAATATTCAAGAAGCACCTGGATGAATACAGGAATAGGAAGGGAATAGAGGGATATGGATCCTGTAAGTAAAAACAGTTTTAATGTGGAAAGACAAAATGTGGCAGTGCAGGCTTCGAGGACCGAAAGGCCTGTTCTGTGCAGCATTGTTCTTTGTTCTTCTTTGTTCTTAATTTAATCATCTCAAGCTGCCATCAGTAAAGTGAAACTTCACGTCCTAGTTCATTTAATCACTGCGTATGCTTTACATCCTGCTCAGTGGCTATGTATCAACCCATCCTAACATTTCAACCTGTTGTAGTAGAATTTTAACTCTCAGTCTCTGAGTTCAGTAGTAATCCTTCGTATGTATAATGATAGAACATAAATATTTAAAACAGAAAACAGGGCAAATTAGGATTTGGTACAGAACATTACATTCTACTTGCTTATTTCTACTTCTGAACTTTTCCTTGCCAGTCATAAAAGAGTTGATTAATGTAAACATTTACTTTGTTTCCTCAGTTTTGTTAGGCTTGCAAACAAGATTAAAAACTACTCAAACAAACCTGAATGGTGTGAGAATCACTGGCTTGTCCAAGGATTTCCAATAAAGTTGGATCTGATACAAAGAAGAATCGAGGAAATAGCAACCTTTTCTTTTCCAAATATCTGTCAGAAATAATAATGTTAAAGCTTGTAGCATATTTTAAACTCCAATTTCTTGTTACCAAAGTTCCTGTAACTTTTACTTTCTTTATTACAGTTTGTAGATTTCCAGGGGAGTTTAAAATGGTGAATTAGAGCATATGTTAAAAATAAAATTCAAAGAATAATAGTATTTAAGTTAATGGTTTGATTTTGTTTTCTAGTTAAAATTTTTCTGTAGGCATGTAAGTTGTAAAACAGTAGTTAGAGGAAGAGCATAGACAATAACAGACCAAAAAGAGATTTAAACATAGAGGCAGAGGTCCTCGCTAGGAGCTGTTTACTCTGCATGTAACTTTATGAAGGAAAAAGATGTCACTAAAGTTGGGCTTCTTTCATCCTTCCTCATCTAAAACTGTCATCAAAAAGCTCCTATTCCCTTCTCCCTGAAATAGGTCAAAACTATTTGCTTCAACACTCTCTGCGCTAGTCAGTTCAGCATTCTTCCTACTCTTTGAGTTAAGATGTTTCTTCTGGATAGACAACTGAATTAACTATCATTTTATTAAATTATGAGATGGCTGAGCTAGCAATTATTACATATCCCCAGCTGCCCTTGAGAAGGTGGTGGTGAAGCTGCCTTCTTGAACTGTTACAATTTATTTGGTTTAGGTAGACCAACAAAGCCAGCAGGGAAGAAGTTCTAGGATTTTGACCCAGAGGCAGTGGAGGAATGGCGATATATTTCCAAGTCAGGACGGTGAGTGTCTTGGAGGGGAGCTTGCAGGTGGTGGTTCCCATGTATCTGCTGCCTTTGTCCTTCTAGATGGTCGTAGTTGTAGATTTGGAAGGTGCAGTCTATGGAACCTATCTATATACATCATCTATTGATGGGCCCTAATTATGCTCTTCAACAAGAACGGAAATATTCTCTCTATACAGTCTATGAAAATTGTGAATAATTTTTAAGCCCTCTATTTAGCCAACACTTAAGTCTTCTGTTTTAAAGAAAAAAGCAACCCAGCTTGCCAAGCCTCTTTTCCTGATACTTATACACAATGTCATGTGTGCTATACAGGTAGATCGCACCGTAGAAAGTACATCAGGGTAGCAGAACAGTGTGCAGAATACAGTGTTACAGCCTCAGAGAAGGTGCAAAGAGAGAGCAGAATTTACGAGATCCGTTCAAAAGTCTGATAACAGAGGGAAAAACGTTGCTCTTGAATCCATTTGTACGTGTATTCAAACTTTTATAACTTCTGCCCAATGGAAGAGGGCGGAAGAGAGTATAACTGAAATGGGAAGGATCTTTGATTATGTTGGTTGTTTTTCCAAGGCAGCAGAAAGTATAGATGGAGTCAAAGGATGGAAGCCTGGACTGGGGTGCTTTCATGCCTCTCTGTAATTTCTTGCAGTCTTGGTCAGAAGTCACATGACACCAGTCTTGGGAACAGCAGTTGCCACACCAAGCTGTGATGCATCCAGATAGGTTCTTCTTCTTTCTGTCCTGTACAGCTGGGCCGTGTGTATTGGCATGGCCTTGACTCTGGTTGCATTCCTGCAAGGATCCATCACCCTCATTAATATTGAAAACTGCAAATTGCGTGGAGCTTCTATGGACATATACACTACATGAATGTTTTTCTTGGATTGTCTTGTGGTCAGCCATTCCCCCTGTGCCTGCTTGCTTTCAACCTGCGGTATGACCAACTCTCTTAACATGCTATCCACAATGTTCTCTGCCCCACAATGCACCTTAGTGATTCCAGTTGCTGTTTGAACTCTGAAATCCTTAGCTCAAGTTTATGCAGTAAATGATACTTCCTACACTTGGGCTCATCTAGTTTATAAGAAAGGTCCATAACTCTCCACATGTCTGAGGGTAGGTACACTGCTTGGTCAAGCTGGCTTACTATACCTTTACATACACATTTAAGTTACTTTATGTACTATGACTTTAGTTGCTTTAACTTTGGGGTGGGTGTGTGGAATGCGCTGCCGGCGATGGTAATGGTGTCAGATACATTAGGGACATTTAAGCCACTCTCTGGATAGGCACATGGATGATAGTAAAATGTAGGGTATGCAGAGTAGTTTGATCTTAGGGTAGGATAATAGATTGGCACAACATTGTGGGCCGAAGGGCCTGTATTGTGCTGTACTGTTCTATATTCTACGTTCTTTACTATACCGATCTACAAAATCATGAAGGGCATAGATGCTTAGATAACAAGAAGCATTTCCCTTAGTGGAAGAGTCAATGACCATGGGCACAAATATAAGGTAAGGGGCTGGATGTTTAAAGGAGTCTTAAGAAAGGAAAATCACCCAGAGAGTGATTGGCGTTTGCAGCTCACTGTCTGAGGGAACACCACTGAGGGTGGAAGTGAAATCAGAAGATGAGGTATTTCCATTGCATCAAGGTGGGTCACATTCATTCAAAACACTGGGAGTTGTGAGGAAAATCCACGGACTTGTTGGAACTCGTAAGAATAAGGTTGAAACAAAAGCAATAAAAGCAAGTGGTAAACACGGCTGTGAATGCAGAAGATGTACATCGGGTACATGAGAGATATTAAGGGTTTTTGTCTAAATGAAGACAATGCCTTTATTTCTTCAAAGAAAACATCCAAAACTGTAACTATACTAAGGGACAATGTGGTTACTCAAGCTCTCTTGTTGGAGTAGGGTTTAAATTTTGCCTATAATTACAGAATGTCTAATTGAGGCTAAAGAGACAGTTTCTGAGTATTTTTCCACTGAAGTTAGTAACGAAAACAGTTCATCACCAGAGTAATCGCAAATCATCATGAAGGTCATCACCACATGCTGATGTTGGATGAGATGAAACTTTCTTTTTATATCTGGAACAGCACTTACACAGAGTGTCATTTAGACTCAAAATGTTAACTTGTTTTCTCTCCATGGATGCTGCCTGACCTGCTGTGATATCCAGCACTTTTTGTTTTCAGTCTGGATTCCAGCATCTGCAGTAATTTGCTCCTATCAGTAAATTACCCATGTTTCCACTTGAATAATTTGTATGCAAAGCCCCTGAAGGGCAATGCACACCATCAAATGTGAGGGAGAGGTAGGAAGGTGGGAGAGGGCTAAATCAAAATGGAGTTGGTAGGACAATCACAGCTAGAAGAGGTGTGGAAATGTTAGCTCATTTTTTTACTCATTATAGCCTACCAGCTGAGATAAAATCGGATCAGGATTCTAACTTTATGTCTAATGTTTTCCAGGAAATCATTGACAGTTTGGTATAAAACAATTGCATTATCATTTGCAAACACAGGGAGCTACTGTCAGACTTTCAAAAACATGGTTAAGGCATATGCCATTCCTCATTAAGGAATTCTCATAGAATTGGGACAAAGAATTAGATTATGTATTCGTACCTACCAGAGATTCGCCAAACGATTCTACCGGATTAAATCTATTTGAATTCATGTTATAGTTGTGAGATTAGTTGTTCACTAAAATTGATTATGGAGAAGCTCTTGTACATGAAAAAAGAATCTTCAATATTGGATTGTATCCATGTTTCTAGAAAGGCTCGTAAGAATATACAAGATAGCACAAGAGCATTTGAAAGTTTCACAAGTAGAAATGAAAGAATAGGCAGGTAAGCAATTAGAACATTTCAAGTGAGGATGTAGAAAGGGTATTGCTGCTGTCCAAAATGAACCGCTAAAAGTGGAATTCAGTGCCCATACAGTGGTTAGGAGAGTTTGTAAAGTGACTTATCATAGAATTTTACAGTACAGAAGGAGGTCATTGTATTCATCATCTGTATGAGCTCCTGAAAGAGACAGTTCCATTCTCCAACTCTATCTCTGTAGCCCTCTAAAATTCATCACTTCCAAATATGTATCCAACTCCCTTTTGAAACCATCTATGGAATTCACCTCCACCACTCTCCCAGGCAGCGCATTCTAAATCCTAACATCTGAGTAAAGAAGTTTCTCCTCATCTCACTCCTAGCTCGCTTTCTGATAATCTTGAAATTATGACCTAAATTACTGACATCAACTGGTGGAAACAGAATATCCTTCTTTACCCTGTCAAAATTATTCATAATTTTGAACATCTCAATAAGGTTACCTTTTAATTCTCTCTACTTGAAAGAGAATAAGCCTGATCTCTCTCATCTTTCCTTGTATCTAAAATCCCTCATTCATAGAATCCCTACAGTGTAGGAAACAGGCCCTTCAGCCCTATGAGTCCACAATGACACTCAGAGCATCCCACCCAGACCTATCCCCCTATAGCTCATCTAATCTACACATCCCTGGGCAATTTAGCATGGCCAATCCACCTAGCCTGCACAGCTTTGGACTGTAGGGAGAAACCAGAGCATCTGGAGGAAACCTGTGCAGACATGGGGAGAATGTGCAAACTCCACACAGACGGTTGCCTGAGGGTGGAATTGAACCTGGACCCCTGGCACTGTGAGGCTACAGTGCTAATCACTGAGCCACTGTACCGCCCTTGGTATCATTCTAGTATTCCTGGTAACATTCTAATAAATATGCTTTGCACTGTCTCCTGGCCTTTAACATCTTTCCTTAAGTAAGTTGCCCAGCACTGAACACAATACTCAAAATGTGGTCCGGCAAATGATTTGTTGAGGTGTATCATCGCTTCCTTGCTTTTGTACTCTATGACTTTATATACAAATTCAAGGATCCTATAAGCCTTCTTAACTGTTTCAATTTGCCTGGCCACCTTCAGAGAATTATGTGCATGAATCTTGGATCCCACTACTCCTGTACTCCTCTGAAATTTGTATCATTGAGCTCATATGGTCTCTCCATGTTTCTTGTACCAAAAGCATTACCTCACACTTCTCTGAATTGAAATTCATCTGCCAGGTGTTTGCCTATGTGGCCAACTTGTTAATGCCCCTTTGAAATCGCTCAGTGTCATCCTCATAAATCATATTCTCCCTTACTTTGTATCTTCTGCAAATTTAGAGATTTTGCCCTCAACACCCATCTCCACATTGTTTATATAAATCAGGAAAAGCAAGAGCCCCAACACTGATCCCTGGGGAGCACCACGATTCTGAGAAAATAAATTATTCATCCTTTGATCAGTAATGTCATATAAACACATTGTAAAGGTATTAGCATAAGGAAGAGGATAAGGAAGGACAAGTGTCAGGTGGTAAGAGTAGTGGAAGACGATAGAGATATTAAGAGTGAGATAGAAGGAGAGAGAGACAATTCTCAAAGGACCCACCTACAATTTGACTAGTGACTACAGAAATATTGGGCCTTGTAAACACAATGTTCTCTATATTTAGAGAAAAATCAATAGGAGGATCTTATAAAACTACTTTTGATTTTGATTTGATTTGATTTATTACCATCACACGTACCTAGTTACAGTGAAAAGTTTTGTTTTGTGTGCAGTACAGGCAGATCATACCATGCAAAGTCCATAAGGGTAATAGTACAACGTGAGGAATACAATGGTATGGCTGCAGAGAAGGTACACGAAGAGTTACATCAACATTAAGTCTGAAATTTGAGAGGTCCATTCAGAAGGCCAATAACTTAGTAACGACAAGGTAATCTATAAAGATACACCGATTTGTACTACATTAGCAAGCCACAATGTGGATGTAGGAGAGTCAGGATTGATAAATCAGCATTCTTATCACATAAATAAAACAAAGCATTGCAGATGAGTCCAGGAAAACAAGTTTGTGTGGAAACAGATTTAGTATATGCTGGAAAATTACTTGATTGAACCTAGTCAAAACAAATAGAGTGCACCAATACTGATAGTTCCTAAATGAGTGGAGCAATTAGTTTCTTTATAGATTATAGAAAGGTAAATGTGGTCAGAGGTTGGCAGTATCTCATTTCTTTCAAAGATTGATGTATTGAAAAAGTCTGGAAAGAGCCATCAACTCAAAGGCTAAAGGAATATCCATTTTGTTATGCCAAACTGGTTATGTCAATGTCGAGTGATGTCATTTGGATTAGAGAACGTCCCAGCCACATTTCAGAGGCTTATGAATCAAGTGAGCTAACATCAAGTGAGGCTTGCAAATGTGTAATTAATTTAGATGATGTTGTGGTATATTATAACACAAGGGAAGAGAATGTGAGATAAACAGAAGACCTGTTTAAGCAATTAAAGTTGGCTGACTTAGTAATAAATTTAGCCAAAAGTGGACTTGTGAAAGCAATAATTACTCAGTTAGGTCAGAACAGTGAAAATGAAAGCTCTGACAGAATACCCTGTTCCTAAAACTAAGTGAGAAACATTCAGGAATGTGTGGGTTTTACGAGAATGTTTTGTATGATTTCAGAATCACAGCTGCTTTGAGCCATGCTGTAGCACTGCAACAGGCTTGAGACAGAAATATTGGCAGAGCAACACTGTGGTGAATTGAAGTGGCAAGCACAGGAGGTACTTTTATGGACAGAACATAAATATTCCACAAAGCGATCACCCAGTCTGCTTTTTGTCTGTCCAATGTACAGAAGGCAGAATTGTGAGTGAATACAGTTGACTGGATTGAGTGTAGCACAAGTAAATCGCTACTTCACCTGGAAGATGTGTCTGGGGCTTAGAATAGTGAGGAGGTGCCACTCCTGGGCCCATTTGCCCATCTGACCAAGGTCCCATTGTACTTTTAGACAACTTTCTTCACTGTCCAATACACCACCAATTTTGATGCCAACTTACTAACCAGAATCCTTCCATTATCACAACCAAATCATGTGTATAAATGACAAGATGCAATGGATCCAGCACTGATCCTAGTGGCACACTGCTGGCAACAGACCTCCAGTCTGAAAAACAACCCTCTACCATTACCTTTTGTCTCCTATGTTCAATAGATAGGGTAGAGGGGACTCTGTAGTCAGGGGCACAAGGGGTATTTCTTTGGCTGCATGTGAGACTCCAGGATGGTGTGTTGTTTCCCTGGTGCCTGGCTCAAGGATGTCTCCAATTGAGCACAGGATATTCTGAAGTGGAAGGGTGAGCTGCCAGAGATTGTGATACTAATGACATAGGCAGAAAGAGAGATGACATCCTGCAAAGGAAGTTCAGGGAGTTAAGAAGGAAGATGAAAAACAGGACCACTAGGGTTGTAATCTTGAGATTAATTCTGTGCACATTCCTGTGAGGCTAGGAATAGGAAGATAATACAGTTAAATACACAGCTAGTGAGCTGGTGTAGGAGGGAGGATTTCAGCTATGTGGATCATTGAGACGTCTTCTGGTGTAGGTGGGGCCTTTACAAGAAGGAAGTGTTGTACCTAAACTGGAGGGGCACCAATATTGAAGCAGGGAGGTTTGCTCGTGTCACTTGGAAGTGTTTAAGCTAGTAAGGCAGGGGCACAGGAACCAGAGCAGTAAGACAGTCAGTAAAATGACCAAAGAGGAGTCAGAGACTAAGGCCAATAAGATGAAAAAGAAGAACAGACCAGGAGAGTTTAGCGAACACAACAGAACTTGTAGTCATAGAGTCACAGAGATGTAAAGCATGGAAACAGGCACTCCTCCTTGCCGACCATATATCCTAAATTAATCTAGTCCCATTTGCCAGAATTTGATCCATATCCCTCTAAATCCTTCAGTCTGATGTGTATTTGTTTTAATGTGAGGAGTATGACAGGTAAAGCAGATGAACTTAGAGCTTCTATCAGGTTGCCCCTCATCTTTCGACATTCTAGTGAAAACAAACCAAGTTTGTCCATCAGGAAAGAAGTTTTAAGATGTTCTAGGGACATGAGTTTGAATCCCACTATGGCATTTGGTGCAATTTGACCACAAGATCATTAGAACAGAAGAAATAGGAACTGAAGTAGGCCACTTGGTCTCTTAAGCCTGCTCAGCAATTTAATATGATCATGGCTGATCCAATATTCAAAGACCAAATATCAAAGAACAGTAAGGCCCAGGAACAGGCCCTTTGGCCCACCAAGACTGTGCTGACACATGATGACTTTCTAAACTAAAAACCTTTGCCCTCTACATGATCTGTATCCCTCTATTCCCTGTCTGGGTTCAATTCCAGCCTCGGGCGACTGTGTGTGGAGTTTGCATATTCTCCCCGTGTCTGTGTGGGTTTCCTCCGGGTGCTCCGGTTTCCTCCTACAGTCCAAAGATGTGCAGGCTAGGTGGATTGGCCATGCTATATTGCCCGTAATGTTCAGGGAGGTGTAGATTAGGTGGGTTATAGGGGGATGGGTCTGGGTGGAATGGTCTGAGGTTCGGTGTGGACTTGTTGGGCCGAAGGGCCTGCTTCCACACTGTAGGGATTCTATGATTCTATGATATCTGTCAAGATGCCTCTTAAACATTGCTGTTGTATCTACCTCCGCCACTTCATCTGGTAGTGCATTCCAGGCACTTAACACCCTCTGTGAAAAATACTTGCCTATCCTCTCTTCTTTAAACTTACACCCCTTTACCTTAAATCTATGTCCCCTAGTAACTGACACTTCTACCCTGGGAAAAGGACTCCAACTATCCATTCAATCCACACTTCTCAGAATTTTGTTAACTTCTATCAAGTCACCCCTCATTCTTCGATGTTGAAGTGAAAACAAACCAGGTTTGTTCAATCTCTCTTCATAGCTAATACCCTCCAACCAGACCATATCCTGGTAAACCATTTCTGACCTCTCTGCAAAGCTTTCACATCCTTCTGGTAATGTGGTGACCCGAACTGTATGCAATATTCCAAACGTGGCTTAACTAAAGTTCTATACAGCTGCAACATGACTTGTCAATTTTTATACTCTATGCCCTGACTGATGAAGGCAAGCACGCCATATGCCTTCCTGACCATCTTATCCATTTATGTTGCCATTTTTAGGGAACCCTGGACCTATATGCCTAGATCCCTCTCTAAGCTGATGCCACGAAAGATTCTGCTATTTACTGTAAACCTACATCGTGCATTAGATCTTCCAAAATGCATCACTTTGCATTTGTCCAGATTAAGTTCTCTCTGGCATTTCTCTGCCCAAATCTCCAGCTATCTCTATCCTGCTGTATCCTCTGGCAATCCTCCTCACTATCTGTAGCTCCCTCAATCTTTGTGTCATTCGCAAACTTATTAATCAGACCACCTAAATTCTTCTTCAAATCATTCATATGTATTACAAACAATAGGAGTCTCAGCACTAATCTCGACAAAATACCACTGGTCATAGATCTCCAGTCAGAATTACTCTTTCACTAAGAATCTTCTGCAATAATTTCCCTATCACTGACTTAAGGCTCCAATGGACTGTAGCAATTCAAGAAGGCAGTTAACCACCACTTTACTGGCAATGAGGGATTGGTGATAAATGCTGCCCCAGCCAACGGCATCCACATCCTAAAAATGAATATATTTAAGAAAATTTGCCTTGGTTCTGGACTATTAGTCCAATGACATTACCACTAAGTCACTGACTCCGCTAAATTCATCTATATAGTTCTGAAGGCTGCATGCATTAAGTTAAAAAGTCTTTAATTTTGACTTTTCAAAACTTTATTCCTACTCTGGCTCATTTTGCTTGTGCAGTTAAGGATGGAAATTAATTATTGGCTAGCTTGCAATGCCAACATTCTATGAACGGATTAAATGAAAAAATTCTGTCTTTCGCGATCACACACTAGTTGTCATTCCTCAAAACATTACCTGGACTGTTGTCTTTTCTCATGAAATTTCTCATTTTTTTTCCAGTCCAAATTATATATCTTGGAAGAACACTGAACCTAGCTTAGTTCAAATGAAATAAATTTCATTGGTCCAGCTTCTTCTAATCCCAAATTTGGTGCTACATTACTGAAAACCCATTTCTCCCTCATCAATCATCTTTCCACACAAATTCTAGTCTCCGATCTTATTTCCTTCATGACACTTTGCTTTTACCTTATTGGTTGTAAGCCACACTTATTGCAAATGTAACATGCAAATATTATATGTCAACTGATCTTCTTACCCTGTTAGGGATTTCTGGCAAACCTCCAGTTGCTCCTGTAAATGGGGTAAAAGCTGTCCCATCGTGTCATCTCCCACACAGCACTGAACCACTGTTGGAATTTCATGAGCTCGTTGCATAATTTTTATCCAAGATTTATCAACATTTTGAAAACGTTTTGCTTCCTAGGAAAGCAATGATAGAATTCATCAACTACAGAGCTTTGAAACTGTATTGTGGAGAAGTCTAATGTCTGGGGATGAGTGTCCATACCTCTGATTCAAGCTCAGGGTTCAAGATCCACTCCAAGATTTGATAGCCAAGGAAAATAAATCACCCTTTGGTTAAAAAAGTGGAATATCAAGTTATAAATCCCTAGCAGGTGAGGAGGAGATGGCAATGATATTATTGCTAGACTATTACTGCAGCGACCCAGATAATTCTCTGGGGAGCCAGGTTCAAATCTTGCCAAGAATGGTACAATTTAACTTCAATAAAAATATGGAATTAAGAGTCTAATTATGGCTATGAAACCATTGTTGATTGTTAGGCGAAAAACATCACTAATGTTCTTCAGGGAAGGAATCTGTTATCCTCACCTGGTCTGGCTTACATGTGACTCTGGACCCACAGCAAGTCCCTCTTAACTACCCTCTGGGCAATTAGGAATAAATGCTGGCTTAGGCAGTGACGTCAAAAACCCACAATGGAATGAAAAAAAGAATTGCAGAGAGTCTGCTCAGTCATGTGATTGACAGAAAATTGCACTCTTGGCAATCACCATTCATAGTTCTGGACTATAGTGTGTCTGCAAACATGCATGTTCCACTGCAATTTTGAATGCCTTTGCAGGGTGGGGATCCAATCCCAAATCCATCCCAGTCAGAATGGAGATTGAATCCTGTGCTGTTGGTATCACTCTGGTCCACACTGACTCTCCAGCTAACTGCACGCCCAAATAAGGAATCCTTGTTGTTGTGGTAACATGCACTTCCTCTTTGATTTTGTTTCGATAGTAGTGAATTTCCTTGATGGTTTTGATGCACAATTGGAGCAAGTAACTTATCATTGGAAGAAAACTGAGCATTCTTCACCCATAAATTTCTCCTCCTCAAGTCGCCTTGCACTTTTGCTCTTTCCCATGATCCACACTCTTCAATGGTCATTGGGCCAGACATCTCTGCAACAGTTTTATAAGCTCTAGGCGCCCCATTTCCACTTAAATCAGTTGTAAAAGATGTTTGTAGTGGATATCATTTCTGCAAGGAACATTTTTAGTGGATATGTTTTCATCAACTCTTCTTGCAGTACTTGCCTATGGGGTTTGAAAGAATTAAATGGTGAATATTAATTACAAATATTATGCTTAGCACCTTTTAAAACTTGGTATCTCCGGAGAATAACAGACTAACCTAAATTACATGGTTGTTCACAGTTGAGGTAAGACTAAAAGTCCACAGGAATAATAACAGACAAGAACTGACTAGCATGTATATCCCCTTTTCAGGCCAACAGTCTTATACAACATGTACCACTAACTATTTTCCCCTCATTTAATCCATTATGCAATTCATTATATGAGGTTTAACACCAACCCTTCTCCTTCCAAATCTCTAACTTCATAAATGTATGCTAACTTGGATGGGTGAATGATCTCCTGCTTAAACAAGAATAGACTGATGAGTCTTTTATTTCATGCATATCTTCTGCTGTAAAGACATATGAGTGTTGACATTTGACCAGAGAATCATTTCCAGAGAATCTTTGCTTCTTTGAAAAGGGTGATGGATTACAACAATCTCTTTTAAATACTGTCTAAAGGCCTTTCACATTTTCTTTTGGTTGATGTGTTAACTTTGCTTTTGATTAATTCAAGATCATAAGATGCTTTTGTGGGTTAAAGACAAATAAAGGGTCCTTCCAAATCTGTGAAGCCTTCTTTGTTGGGAATACTAGAAAGTTGCTCAGCATCAATTTGCTGATTTCAACTGGTGTATATTTCTTTTTTGAATGTGTATTCTTATAAGGCCAGTAAAGTCTTTTGGTGTCACAAGTCATGTTGGTCAACAGATGTTTAATAATGACTACTCTGCAGATGTTAGGATTTCAACAATTGTTTCTATTTTTTGTATATTTTTGAAAACGATGCACTTTTTTCCAAAAGGTATTCTTGTGGCACATCTTGGGCAGTGACTACTAGAATCAGAAGAACTGAACACCATTTGTGCTGATTTATTGCATGACTCTTTGCAATGTATGTGCCTCATTAAGTTGACAATACTTGATGGTCTTCTGGAGTAAACCTGTTCATTGGATTTTTCTATGGTCTTCCAAATCTCACTCTTGAATGTAAGATGGATAACCTTTTCTGGTGTATGATCTTTTTGGATTGTGAAAGACAATTCTACAGATAGCAAGACAACTCTATCTCTGATAGGTCTGTTGGTACTACCTCATATTCACAAAATTCAGGCAATGCATAAAAATCTGTTATGAAATTACCAACACGTTTTCCTGGAAGTTGTATTCTTTTATTGAACCTTGCAGATTACATAACAGAATTGGTTCTGAAATTGAAATGGTTGTCAAAGTATATTTTAAGTCTTCATTAAAAGTATCAGTATCTTTTGTAACATTCTGTTTGTTAATGGTATGGTGTCCTAATGGTCCCAAAGAATAAAATAGTACATTTCTTGTTCTGATTGTGACTTTTTGTGCTGACCTGAAGCAAATCTGTATTTCATGAATTATTTCTTCCATTCTGACCAATTTCATTCTTTCTTGAGTTTCGACAACCATAAATCAGCCTAAAGGTTCAATAATTTTCTCCATTTCTTTGTTTTGAATTAGATTATTCACTTTAAGTTCTGCAAACATTTTTCAAATTATTGAAAAACTGAAGTATCTTCACCTTTTCATCTTTAAATTTGAATTATAGTCTTAATTCAATTGCTTGAAAGCTTGACAAAAATTATCCAGCTTGAAGAACACCTTTAATAATTGAAATTCTATTTTTAACCATTGATAAAGCAAAATAAATATTTTAATAAGCTGTTAAATTGCAATGAATTATTGCTTTAAGCTTCTTCCTTCAATTCCTCGTCAAATTATATCTGTATTTTAAGTTGCAAAAGCTTTTTGCAAAACCTTTAAATTGTAAAGGTATAGTTTCAATAAAGCTTTCAAATTGTTCTTTTTGAAAATTGTATAAACAACTCTTTAAATTGTATTGTCTTATTGTCTTCATAAATGTAAGATTTTGATTATAAAGAAATAAGATGGAGGATTGGCACCATTTCATTTTTTTTCTTGGTGGCTTTCTAAAAAAAAGGATGACTTGTCACATTTTGGTGTCTTCTTAACCAGTTTGTGTCCTTTCTAATGGAAGAACAGGGTAGTTCAGGGGAGGCAGTGGCCTAGTGGTATTATTGCTGGACTGTTAATCCAGAGACTCAGATAACATTCTGGGGACTTGGGTTCAAATCCTGCCACAGCAGATGGTGGAATTTGAATTCAATAAATGGATGGAATAACCATGAATCCATTTCTGATTTTTGAGGAAAAACCCATCTGGTTCACTAATGCCCTTTAGGATAGGAAACTGCCATCCTTACCTGGACTGGCCTGCTTGTGACTCCAGACCCACAACAATGTGGTTGACTCTTAACTGCCCAATGGGCAATTAATGCTGCCTACCTAGTGATGCCCTGATCCCATGAATGAATAAAAAAATTCACACTGTCATGAATTCTTAGTTGTACAATAAAAATTAGCTTCAACTTGAGGGTGAAAAAATGACCAGAAATTGGCTAATTTTGGGGAGTTTCATGGAGCGTTTCTCTCCGTAAGATCTAGCAAGTTTTCTCATGCTATTGTCCTCAGCATGTCCCATTAGCTATGTACTACATCTCTATACAGCACATGCTATCTTGCTTTCTTGGCATTTTGGTATTGCCCCTATCTTTGACCATAAGGCCTGGGGTCAGGTCCCACCTGTTGCAGAGATGTGTCATAGCACATCTGAACAGGTTAATTAAAAATATCTATGATCCTGTGTAAGGGAGTGTTATTCTTTCCCTAACATCCAATGTAGCTTAACATCTTCTCATTGTTCAATGTGGGACCATCAGATATTGGAAAGCCTTTAAAATGTGAAAATGTTTCCTTTTATTCAGCAACAGTAAAACCGAAGAAAAAGCAAACGAAAGATGCATTTGCTTCTCGGATCAGAAAAGGACCACTTGCCATTTGAGTAGCAACAAATTTACAATTAATGAGCAATTACTGCACTCAGCTCAAATTATTAGAACCCAATGTCAATTATGTCCTTTTGGCATGTTGCACCTGATGCTGCAGGCCTGTCAGACAGAAAATAATGTCCCTCCTCTCCACCGTCCTCATAGACTCATAGAGCTATAAAGCATGGAAACAGACCCTTCGGTCTGACAAGTCCCTGCCGAACATAATCCCAAGCTAAACTAGCACCCCTGCTTGCTCCTGGCCCATATCGCTCCAAACCTTTCCTGTTCTTGTACTCATCCAAATGTCTTTTAAATGTTGTAATTGTACCCACATCCACCACTTCCTCAGGGAGTTTATTCCACATGCAAACCATCCTCTGTGTAAAAAATTTGCCCCCATGTTTTTTTTGAGTCTTTCTCCTCTCACCTTAAAAATGCGCCTCCTAGTCTTGAAATTCCCCATCCTAAGGAAAAGGTGACTACCATTAACTCTATCTATACACCTCATTATTTTACAAACTTCTAGGTCACCTCTCAACATCCTACACTCCATTTAAGGAGATATAAAATAACATGTATTTCTGACAATAGTAATGATACTATCCATTAATCATGAAGAAGGTTGTCCACAAAGATCTACTAATCTCCGTGCCATTGATTTCCCTTTTTTTCAATGTCTGTTTGAATCTGGTAATGAGTCAGAGGGATATCCAGGTGTTCAACAACTATGATGTAATCAAGTAAGGTAAGCAGATATCATAATAAAGTATTCTCACAGACAGCAAACCAGAAAGTTAAAACAATGATAATCCTTTTCTTGAATAATATAATTGACTGGAAGTAAAATAAATGTTTGGCATATACAGAAGAGATTTAAAAAAGACTTTAACACAATTAAACATGTGGCATTTTATGTCATAGTGGAGAAATCTACCATTTCAAAA